CCAATGTTTAGGACAAGTCACATTGTAAGAGCATCCCTGGCAGAGTGGATCAGTGAATGAGGAAGGACTGCAACACAGGACTGGGCTTTCTGCTAGAGCTCCTTTGAGCCTGGATCCTCAGTAAATGGGACACACGCACTCCCAGCGCAACATGGTGGCCTCACACCTTCTCCCCAACCTGTAGGACCACACACAGCCTTGCGGATCCCAGACAAGACCAACCAGCTGCACACAGCGTCACGAAACAGACGGAGGCCATGGTCAGGCACAAGGGGAAGTTAATCATACAGGGCTTGACTGATCTGGATGTATGTAATGTAGCACTTTTGCTTGAGAGGTCAAGTTGCTAACAGCAGACACACCCTCCAGAAAGAAATTTAGATCATGGGGAGCTGTAATATTTTGTGCTTTGCTACTCTTACTCATTTTCTTTGCTTCATTTCACAAACACATTTCTCCTTTTTAGTAGACTACAATGAAAATACAAGCAGGACTGTGATTTTCTGGGATTTTTTTTGCATGAAACAGAGATTTTGTTTGTCCTTCTGGCTGCACTGCAAGGCTGGAAAGTAAAACCGCCTTCCCTCTGTTCTGCATCAATGCAAGTCAAGCTTGCAGGGATTGTTCCCTTATTTGTTCCACGGTTTGCTAGGTTTCTCAATACACTGGGATTGGCCCCAGTGCTGCTCTTTTCATACAGTGACCAATGGGTGAAATGGGAGTCACTGGCACCCCATAATAAATGTAGAAGCTGTTGGGCAACTGGTTTCTCCTGAGAAGTTAAAAAAGTTATGTGGTGAGACCGTCTGATTGTATCTTCAGGAGACACTTTCAAAAACCTACCCTAAGGGATAGGAATTAGAAAAACACCCGTGCAAGTCATATAGTTTCAAAAATTTGCAACAGAAACAAGAATGATGGTCACTCGTAAACTAGAAAGGGACTTGCTTTAAAATACTTCAAGATCATCATTATCAAGTGAAAAATTCCTTAGGAAAGACTGGGAAACAATATACAGTATGAAATATTCCTGAACACAAGGCTGTCAGACGCCTGGTTTTCAAGCATACTTTCTTCACACTGTAACGTCAAATACGCACACAAACCTTTGAAGTAGGCATTCAAGAAAATCTCCCCATGGAGATCACAGCCCTGAGCTCGGGAACTACTGACATACACAGTTACACTGGCATTTTTCATACATCTGAGCACCCACAACCGAGGTGATGTTTATAAGGGACACCTGCGTATTCAAGATCTGCTGATTTTGGAGACAGACAAAAATATAAGCAAAGCAGGTACCATGCTCTAGCCAGCTGGCCAGTTTTTATTACATTAGAAATCCTACCTGAACATTTCCTTTAACTCATTCACCTTCTTAGTAGGATATTTGCTGGACTGGGTGTCGCTTAGGAAAGCTCTGGCATAGGCCAAAGGACCAGCATTAACCTAGAACCAAAGTAGTAAGAAATCATTTATGCAGGGACTTCTGTTGAATTGCTAAAGGCAGTTATGAAGGGAATAACATTTTTTTTAACAAAAAACATTAGTGTCTTATTTGCATGCCACCAACTCTGCATTACGAATGCCACTGGAGGCACCTGAAGTTTTAAAACTTGAGTATTAGTTTTATTATCTATGTTTTTAAGACCAAAAGATAAACGGACGTAAAAAGAGAGGTGCATAGTTTCCTCTTACTTCCATTTGGAAAAGCAGTATGGTCTAAGTCTTAAGGTAACTTATCCAGCTTGAGAAAAGTCAAGTTCACAAAAAGGCTACTTGTGCTTGATATTTACAGTACAGTCTTCAAGAATTAAGTACATTTCAGCATTCACCCATGGCTACCTAATGCACTTGTTCTTGACACTGTAAACATCCCTGGACGAAATCCTCATTGCCGTGAGCCACCTGCTAATGTACCACTGCATGTGGCAGGGCAAGCTGTGCTGGCAGTGGCTGCAGTGCTGCAAATGAGGTAGTTAATGATTTCTAGAAAGTAAATGCATTGCATCGTGAAATGATGACTCACTCTGATCTGTGTATATAAATGTAATTTGGAACAGACATCACGCCTTACCTGCACAGAAACACAGCCTTGCAGTTTGAGTTGCAGCTGGATCATGTCAACATCACCAGCAGAGCAGAGTTGCTGCAGCTCTGCTGTCTTGTCTTTTATTTCATCAGTAGCAACATCAATAGGTTTTAAATTAACCTGATGTTCATAATTGACTGGAATTCTCTTCTTTACATATGGAAAGGAGTTCAAAGCTAGCAGAAAAAGCAAAGGAAGTTTACAGATTGAAAAGCCACGCAGCAAACAGGAGTACTCTTCATAGAACGTACACATGCAGATCCTTGCCCTCAGGGTTTTACTTGGTGCGTGTCAAATCCCAAAGAAAGCTGTAATTTACCAGCATGATTTATTACTTTGTAAAAATTTGCAAAAAGAAATATAAAATAAATTCCCCCTCCCAAGCAGAATATTGTATCACAACTCCAATTAAGGAGCTGAAAGAATTTCTGACTCTTTTGGGATATTTTCATTAGCTAAAATAGCCTAAAGATGGTTCATTCTGTCTCACTCCCAGGTGCTTGCACTTACTAGTCAGAATGGTCCTTTTTTTACACTGTTCTTCCACACTGCCATGCTTTTTTCCAGATAAAGTGTAAGGAGTTTCAAATACAAATCTATTGATGTTATGATTTCTTTCAAATTCAGTCTTTCTTTCAGGGATTTCTTTGTCTTCAAAATAGGGCTTCACGTAAGTCACTTGAATATGGGCATACTTAGGATCAAGGTCTTTAATGCTGACCTGTGAAATAAGACAGTTACTCACTAGAAGAACAAAGGTTAATAACTTAACTTATAATTGGTTCATTTATCTACTGGGATTTGACATAAATAAATTCCCTGCTGACTCAGCACAAATGACACACAAAGCACACCCTTTGACTTCACCTGTGATGGCCAGACCATTTGCTAGCAGACACACAAGACACGGAGGTGTGACACAAGAAATACCTCATCTGGTGTTCAACAAGCTGTGTCTGGAACAGGCAGCCAGATCACCCTATCCATCAATGCAGTACATCCCTGGGCTATGTACTCCTAATATGCAGGAACATGGTCATATGTCTTCCATGCTATGAGC